AAAAAGAAACGTTTCGCCCCTCATCCAAGAGGCTTCGTCAGTCTGAGGCCTAGCCATCTGGTATTACCCAGAAGCCACCCTGACTCTTGTGTTGTGTTAAGATAGATAGTTGGAGTGAAAACTAGTTTGTAGTCTTTGTAAAACTTCACACCCAGGCTGCAAAGTTTGAGGCTTGGAAATATTTTCCTGATGAGAGGTTGCTGCAGTCATCAATATCATGTCAGCCACTTCCCAGGCACAGATCTCCTCCCATGTGCTTTTTTCAGCTTTCTACCGTTTCTTTTCAGGAGGAAATGGTTCGAAAGACGTTTTGCTCTCTCAGCCCAGTGCTGGAGATTATTTAAAGATGGAGGTCACGCTCCACACAGCTCGGTGCTGTGTTTGAGCTCAAATCCCACACCAGCACACAGACACATCATCTCGGCTGCAGATGTGGAACATCTGGTGCCAGGAGTGTTTCTGACTTCTTTTCTCACGACTTTCTTGTGACAAAAAATGTATGGCAGAAAGCTATTGCCTTTGAGCCAGAGTGAGTAAGGACTGAGGAGGTGCGTGTGTTAGAAACTGTTTGTGCAAAATAACAACTCTCAAATTAAAATTAAAAAAAGCGAAAGTGGTGTGAGATGGGCCAAGACCATGAAGTGTGTAAGTTGTGTGACACCACAGTCGGTCCTGCTTGGCAGCCGTCTCATTTTCCCAGCAGCAGCTTGCCGACCTTGTCCTACAGGTCTGCAAAGATGGTTGGGTAGGGGTTGGTGTGTATGCTGATGATGAAGGGCAACAGAAAACAGGAAGCCTCATCTGTCCTGTCACCTGACTTTACTACATAGATCATTGTCATAGCATTTCAATATATATCATGTCTAAAACATTTATTTTCTTACTGTTGTTTAATTTGAAGTAGTCCTCAGTTTTTATTGCCTAAGGAGAGGGAATATGTTGCAAAAATCATATAGGTCACTTTGCTTGAATTTCCTGTGTTGGTGCCTGAATTAGGTTTGTTATGATGACATCTTTATTCGTCATGTTCGTGCTGCTGTTCGGCGTATTGTTTTTATGCTACAAGTGCTTAGTGTATTTTTATTAAAATTTTTCTTAGTTCATATCTTAGAACTCATTATTGTTTTTCTTTTACATTTTAATACTTTTGTTGGATGTAACTGGGACCCTGTGCACACAATTTCGTTCCACCACATGACAAATAAAGAACCTTGAACCCTTGAATCTTCTATTGACCCAAAATTGGGATTATAATAGAAAATTGGTCAATTTTATGAATAAATTGGAAAATAGTTTTGCAAGCCCCGTGCTTCTGTTGTCAGGATTCCAATCTGTATAAGTCACTCTGCCACTGACGACCAGGCTGGTCGTGGCCCTGAAGTTTAAACCACAACTAGAAATTAAAAATTACAACTAGAAATTAAAAACAGGTTTTGAAAAAAA